AGATGCCAGCATCACAACAATCATCTCAACTTACAATAAAATTCACAATTACTAACATCTTCATGCATTATTCCAATAAAAATCAATAAAATCAATACAAACCTAGATTCCTCCCTTACATTGTCAGTGTTTGCTGTCTCATAGATCCGTTTTTAATACCATTTCGTCCATCCTGCTGGTCTTTAATTGCCTGGTTGCCCAAAGGCCTGGTCCCATAACCAAGTTTTCACCCTCCTCCTGAAGGAGAGGAGGGATGGTGATGCTCTGATTTCCCCGGGGAGTGAGTTCCACAGGTGAGGGGCCACCACTGAGAAAGCCCTGCTCCTCGTCCCCACCAGCCTCACTTGTGAGAGTGGTGGGGTCGAGAGCAGGACCTCCCCAGATGATCTCAAGCTCCGAGGTGGGACGTAGCGGGAGATACGTTCGGACAGATACAGTGGACCGGAACCGTACAGGGTTTTATAGGTCAAGACCAGCACCTTGAATTGTGCTCGGAACTGAACCGGCAGCCAGTGGAGCTGGCATAGCAGGGGGGTGGTATGCTCCCTGTATGTCGCCCCGGTGAGCAATCTGGCTGCCGCTCGCTGGACTAGTTGAAGTTTCCGAACAGTCTTCAAGGGCAACCCCACGTAGAGAGCGTTGCAGTAGTCTATTCGGGATGTAACAAGAGCGTGGACCACCGTGGCCAGATCAGACTTCCCAAGGTACGGGCGCAACTGGTGCACAAGTTTTAATTGTGCAAAAGCTCTCCCAGCCACCGCTGAGACCTGGGGTTCCAGGCTCAGCGATGAGTCCAGGATCACTCCCAAGCTGCGAACCTGCGTCTTCAGGGGGAGTGTAACCCCATCCAGCACAGGCTGTAACCCTATACCCTGTTCGGCCTTACGACTGACCAGTAGGACCTCTGTCTTGTCTGGATTCAATTTCAATTTGTTAGCGCTCATCCAGTCCGACACAGCAGCTAGACACCGGTTCAAGGTCTGGACAGCCTCCTTGGTGACAGGTGAGAAGGAGTGACAGATCTGGACATCATCTGCGTAGAGATAACATTCAGTCCGAAACTCCGAATGATCTCCCCCAACGGCTTCATGTAGATGTTAAACAACATCGGGGACAGAATTGATCCCTGAGGGACTCCACATGACAATGGCTGTGGGGCCGAACAGGTGTCACCCAGTAACACTTTCTGGGACCGTCCCTCCAGAAAGGACTGGAGCCACTGCAAAGCAGTACCCCCAAGTCCCATATCTGTGAGGCGTCCCAGAAGGATACCGTGATCGACGGTATCGAAGGCCGCTGAGAGGTCCAGCAGAACTAACAGGGACACACTCCCCCTGTCTAGCTCCCTGCGAAGATCATCTACCAAGGCGACCAAGGCTGTTTCCGTTCCATGTCCAGACTGTGCCGGATCAAGATAATCAGTGTCTACCAGAAATCCCTGGAGTTGTGTTGCCACCACACGTTCCATGACTTTGCCCAAATAGGGGAGATTGGAAACTGGCCGATAGTTGTCTAATTGAGTGGGATCCAGTGATGGTTTCTTCAACAGCGGTTTTATAATAGCTTGTTTTAAGCTCGCTGGAATCTTGCCCTCCTGTAAGGAGGCATTAACCACCACCTTCACCCACTCTGCCAAACCCCCTCTGGCTTCTTTTATCAGCCAGGATGGACAGGGGTCTATGATGCATGTGGTGGGTCGCACCTCTCCAAGGATCCTGTCCACATCCTCAAGCTGAACCAATTGAAAGGAATCCAATAAAACCTGACAAGCAGATGCCTTCACGTTGGTGTGAGCCGCAGCGGAGAGTTCCGCAGTTCCTGGGTCGAGTTTTGGGGACCAACAGATGAAATGTGCCCCAGCAGCCAGCTCAAAACCAGGAATGCCTGCAACTTTCTTTTTTGCTTTCCCCTCTCCCTACTTTGTATCATTTCCCTAATAAAGGTACTTGAAACTTGCAACTTTTAATCTCTCCGCTTGATACTTTTGTATCTTTCCTTGACTCAAACTAAAACAACACTGAAATAAACCTTTTTCCGGGCTCCGGAGAGCCGTGAGCCCGCGGGAGGCGCCTCCAGGCGCCCCCCGGACCCCGAATCTGCGTCCGCCCAAACCGCGGATACGGAAACCACCATTTTAGACCCCCGCATCCGCGAAAACTCATAAAATGGCGGATCGCCGCCGTTCCAATTTTATATTTTTCTGCTACTAATCCTAAGCCTAACTGCTATCTCCCTTTTCTCATTTTGGACTCCTACACCCGGGAATAAATTGATTTTGTTTCGAGTATTTTATTTAACAGAAATCAGCTGTTTGTTAATTTGGCCGGGCTCTTCCCAGACAGCCCGTTTCTCCTCGGCGCTGCTCGCTCCTGCCTGGATCCAGCAACCGGGGACCCACTGTGGCCACCCGCAGGAGACCCAGGGAAGGCAGCCAGGCGTGGGTCCCGGTCTCTGGCGTGAGAGACATAGTTTCCCAAAGGACAGACAAAGGACACTGCCCCACCATTGCAACCCGGAAATCCTCCTTGGACTCTTTTTGCCCTCTCCTATTGACTTTCTGCCCCACGCCTCGGACTGTTTACTGCCATATCTTTGGACACGAACCTTCAAACCAGGCTTGCCCTGAAGAGCAAGCAGCCTCCGTTCCCGCATACCTTCACCAAGGGACCATGAACTTCCCGTTGCCTCAATAATAAAAATCAACTATTTTAATAAACTTTGCTTGGGGTGGGGATGGGATTGCCTTATGAAATGTATGAAATGTATGTAATGAAATATCATATAGAATATACTGTGTTTCCCCTTCCCGCCTTTCCCGCTGACCCTTGCCCCATAAAGATGTGACCTGGGGATTACTGTCTTGGGGAGAAGCTCCTTTGTTCTCCCGAAACCCTTCCTGATTGTTTCACTTGCATGGACCATACTGTTGATCCCCCAACCCTGGCCCTCGGAGCAGACCAGCGAGGGGAGGGGGTCAACAGAAACTCGGAAAGAAAAGATTGATTAAATCACCCAGGTATCGTTGACCCCCCCGAGGTCCGATATCGAAAAAGCCTTTTCATATTTCCTCCAAATCCCATCACAGACCAGGAAACTCATTGTTCCCCTATCTGACACCCCGCCAGTGAGGACAAAGCCTCACATTCCAGCTGGCGGATGCCCCTAAGCTGATCATTTCCTCAGTCTTTGTCAAGCTTCGTCCCGCCTCCTAGCTGCCGATTGGTCCATCTTCAGAGGCGCTAGGAAGGCACTGATTGGCCTCCCAGAGGCGGCGGAGCTCGCTGATTGGTCCAGAGGCGAGGCGTGCCGGCAAGCCTCCTCCCAGCTGTTCCGCGGCCAGCCAATCAGCGTGAAGCCAGCCGGCAGAGGGCGGGCGGGAATTTTGAAACTGTTTCCCTTTGTCTGCACACTATAAAAATGCTTGGAAATTCTGTAAAATTATGCTTGTATGTGAATGATCACTACAATCGCATCCTTTTCAGCTGAATCGCAAAATAAACGCCTCGGTCACTGAACTTCTTCCGCCTCCGGTGAGATTAATTTTAAATATTTTCATATTCTTTGGATTGGCTTCCGCTGGCCTCACCGAGGTTCGAGGACCCTTTTGAGCGGTCCTAAGGGATCTCTCCCGCTGGGAGACCCCCTGAAAAGAGCTCGATATCATGATCAGCAGTGCTGCAGAATTTGAGGAGGCACGAGTGGAGGGTAAAAAAGAGAAACGTGCCAAGAGGAAGGCGCGTCAAGCCAACCCCGTCCGAGACCGCCTTCCACCTGGAAACCAATGCCCTCACTGCGGAAGAAGATGCAGAGCAAGAATAGGGCTCCACAGCCACATACAGACCCACAAGAATATTGGAAAGTGAGGGATCGCCTAACAACGATATAAACCCCACTTGCCTAGTTTCCAACGGACCTCTCAACCTCTGAGGATGCCTGCCATAGATGTGAGGGAAAAGTCAGGAGAGAATGCTTCTGGAACATGGCCATGCAGCAAGGAAAACTTATAGCAACCCAACCAGTAGGCTGTTAAGAATTGTGGGAGTTGAAGTGCCCAAGTTGGCCCATGCCTGGACTAAATGCTTACAGGTTTAGTAACACTCAACAGGAGACAGGTGATAGAATAACCCCTCCCCTCTTCAGTGTCAAATGGTACAATCTCTGGAAGACTTCATCTCCCAGAAGCCTCAGCTGCCTGGGCCAATGCGTAGGAACTCTGGGAGCTGAAGTCCAAAAGCTTCAAAGAGCTGGAGACTTAAAAATGCCTATGGAAAGGCGGGGTAGGCCTCTGTCTGCTTTGGACTTCAACTCCCAGAAGCCTCAGCTGTCTGGGCCAATGCGTAGGAACTCTGGGAGCTGAAGTCCAAAAGCTTTAAATGGCTGGAGACTTAAAAATGCCTTTGAAAGGCGAGGGTAGGCATCTGTCTGCTTTGGACTTCAACTCCCAGAAGCCTCAGCTGTCTGCGCCAATGAGAAGGAACTCTGGGAGCTGAAGTCCAAAAGCTTCAAAGGGCTGGAGACTTTAAAAATGCATTTGAAAAGGCGGGGTAGGCCTCTATCTGCTTTGGACTTCAACTCCCAGAAGCCTCAGCTGCCTGGGTCAATAAATAGGAACTCTGGGAGCTGAAGTCTAAAAGCTTCAAAGGGCAGGAGACTTAAAAATGCCTTTGGAAAGGCGGGGTAGGCATCTGTCTGCTTTGGACTTCAACTCCCAGAAGCCTCAGCTGCCTGGGCCAATGAGTAGGAACTCTGGGAGCTGAAGTCCACAAACCTCAAGTGCTTAGAAGAATGCCTTTGGAAGGGCTGAGTAGGCCTCTCTGCTTTGGACTTCAACTTCCAGAAGCCTCAGCTGAATGGGTGAATGAGAAGGAATCCTGGGAGCTGAAGTCATTCAACTCCTCGAGTGACACTCCTGCGCAGAATCCCAGCCTTCGACTCCTGCATTTTGATTGGCCGGGGCTGGTCACGTGGCGGGCGGAGCATACGAGTGTGTTCCGGGGCGGGGCCGAGCGTCGCCCCCTTCTTTCCGGTCTGCCTCCCTCTTCCGTCCCCCTCGGCCTCCCCCGGCGCCTGGCGTTCCTCCTTTCCTTCCCCTCTGGCAGGCCTTCCGCCTGTTTTCTCTCGCGGTGAGGGGAGGAAGAAGAAGGAGGAGGCGACGGCAGAGAGGAGGAGGAGGGGTTCCCAGTTGGAGGCCTCGGAGCCTCCTTCGGCTTCCCCAGCTCCTCCTCCTTCTCAGGGGTTGCCTAGGCAACCGGGGGGGAGGGTTGGAGGTGGAGGGAAGGCCTGCTCCTTTCTCCTAGGCCTCGGGGCCTGCAAGAGGCGCCTCCGCCTGGAATCTGGTAAGTAAGTAAGTAAGTGAGTGTGTGAATGGGGAGGACAAAGGGAGGAAGCATAGGCCTCGCTCCAGGGTTTTGTTATTGTGTGGTTTGGCAATTCTAGCCTTCCAGGGCTTTTTGGACTTGATCTCCCAGAATTCCTGGTCATTGGCCCAAGCAGCAGAGGCTTCTGGGAGTTGGAGTCCAAATCTCCTGGAAGGCTTGAGGTTGGGAACCACTGGGCTACAAGGTTGTTTATTGTTGTTATTATTATATAATTTTATCTCTCCCTATGGAGACTCAAAGTGGCTCACAAAAACATTCCAACTTGAAATATCTTCTATATAAACAAAAATGTAATGTTCGTTTGTGGGATTAACAGATCTCAAAAACCACTGGGGGAATGGACACCAAATTTGGACACAAGACAACTAAGAAACCAGTGTATGTCCTTCAGTCAAAAAAACTTGATTTTGTCATTTGGGAGTTGTAGTTGCTGGGATTTATAGTTCACCTACAATCAAAGAGCATTCTGAACCCCACCAACGATGGAATTGAACCAAACTTGGCACACAGAACCCCCATGACTAACAGGAAACACTAGAAAGGTTTGATGGCTTTTGGAGTTGTAGTTCACCTACATCCAAAGATCACTGTGCACTCAAAGAATGATGGATCTGGACCAAACTCTACACGAATACTCAATGTGCCCAAATGTCAACAGTGGTGGAGTTTGGGGAAAATAGAATCTGACATTTGGGAGTTGTAGTTGCTGGGATTTATAGTTCACCTACAATCAAAGAGCATTCTGAACCCCACCAATGATGGAATTGAACCAAACTTGGCACACAGAACTCCCAAGACCAGAAACACTAGAAAGGTTTGGTGGGCAGTGTCCTTTGGTTTTGGAGTTGTAGTTCACCTACATCCAGAGATCACTGTGGACTCAATTTATTTTATTTATTTATTTATTTAGAAGTTTTATATACCGGTCTTCTCACCTCGAATGAGGGACTCAGGCTGGTTTACAACATGTATGCAAATACAATAATATACAAAAACATCATTACAGATTAAAATAGTACAGTAAAAACATCATCATCACATTACCCAAGCCAAGTCGTCAATACAGTCATAGTCACAGTTCATCATCCTCCTTCCTTATGGACGAAGGTTATAGATTCAGTCCTCAAATGCCACGTTCCAGAGCCAGGTCTTTATTAGTTTCCTGAAAGTCAATGATGGATCTGGACCAAACTCTACACAAATACTCAATGTGCCCAAATGTGAACACTGATGGAGTTTGGGGAAAATAGAATCTTGACATTTGGGAGTTGTAGTTGCTGGGATTTATAGTTCACCTACAATCACAGAGCATTCTGAACCCCCACCAACGATAGAATTGGGCCAAACCTCCCACACAGAACCCCCATGTGGGCCACAGCAACGCGTGGCAGGGAACGGCTAGTACAATAATAAAACAATAGATCGTTATATATTATTATATATTATCAGTAGTAATTATATATAATCGTATTGCTATATTTAGTAAGGTAAAGGTTGTCCCCTGACATTAAGTCCAGTCATGTCTGACTCTGTGGTGTGGTGCTCATCTCCATTTCTAAGCCGAAGAGCCGGCGTTGTCCATAGACACCTCCAAGGTCATGTGGCTGGCATGACTGCAATGGAATGCCGTTATCTTCCCACCGGAGCAGTACCTATTGTTCTATCCAATTTCCATGTTTTTGAACTGCTAGTTTATTATACCACCACACACACACACACACACACACACATATATATATATACACACACAAACACACATACATACATACATACACACACTACCAGGATATTTCATTATTAGTATATTATTATTATAATATGATATATTGTACTATATAATAAGTTCTAGTTTATATATGATATATTATACTATAACATTATTAATATTATATATAATATAGTAATATTGTTGCAATCTTAATATTTTAATATGTTATTATATTGTGTATATTGATAGTGATGTTGCAGGAGACACGATGGAGCTGTGTGTTTCTGGCTGCCCCCTCTTCACTCTTCACCAGAGCCATATTGTATTTATATATGGATTTTCTCTCTGGACAGATATGCAGTGTATCATGAAGTTGAATCAGGATTCATTAAAAAAAAAGTCATTTCCACAACATTCAAACGTTTAAATGGAATTATACCTGCTGTTCTTACAGCCTCACATTGCTAAAGCCATTGATGTGTTTTGAAAAATTAATAATAAAAAATATTACTATTCTTTAAAAACACAACAGCTTTAGTAGGCTGCTGCTATAAGGACAGTGCTTTTAATTCCATTTTAATGCTTGTTTTATTATTTATTTATTTATTTATACCCTGCTTTATCTCTCCAGAAGGGGACTCAAAGCAACTTAACTCAGGGGTCTTCCAAACAGGCCCTATACCCCAGGATCTAATCCCAGATTTTCTGTTTATCCCAGATTATCTGGCAGTTCGGACTTCTATAATCCAGTTTAAAGCAGGGATCAGATCCCGGGATATCGGACCTATCTGGAAGGGCCCATAAAAGTGTCAGCATACCATTTAAAATATACAAATATGCAAACAGAGTTAAATATAAACAGCTAAGATCCACTGAAACATATTCAAAGTTAAAAACCTTCATTTTTAAAAGCCTGTCTGACTACTAAAGCTGTTGATGTGATTTGAACTTATGATAATAGTATTATAGTCTGCTTCTATAAGGACAGCATCTTTTAATTCCTTTTTGACGTTTGTATATTATTATTATTATTATTATTCAAGCAAGCTTTTAAAGAAGAAATTTTTAGAGACTGAGCCAGAGAAAATTATTATTGTTGTTATTTAAAGAATAATAATAATAATACATTATTCATAACTCATGCTATCTCCCCAAAGGAACTCAAGAAGAAAGTTTTAAAGACGGAGCTAGGGAGTGTTTTGTATTACGTATTTTAAATAGGCATTAATGGTTTTAATTCTTTATTTTTAGATAGTCCAAGGTTTTATTCTCTTTCAGTGCTTATATTCTTTAGGTTTAAAATTGTACGTTATGTGGTTTTTATTTACTTATTTACTTCACTTATATACCGCTTTTCTCAGCCCTTAGGCGACTCAAAGCGGTGAACAAACAGCAAAATTCAATGCAAAACATTACAAAACAAATATGGGACAGTTAAAAAAGTAGCATCATCAACAATTAAACATCAATATAACAATCATTAGCATCTCATCAGTAAAATCAGAATCCAATCTCATCATCCATTATTCCGTATTCCTATATTCAATTACACTGCTTAATCGAATGCTTGTTTGAACAGCCAGGTCTTCACTTTCCTCCAAAACGCCAACAGGGAAGGGGGCCGATCTGATATCTGTAGGAAGGGCGTTCCACAGCCGAGGGGCTACCACTGAGAAGGCCCCGTCTCTCGTCCCCGCCAGGTGTGCCTGTGATGCAGGCGGGACCGAGAGGAGGGCCTCCCCAGATGATCTTAATGTTTTTAGCACTGTTCACCTCTTTTGAGTCTGTTTGAGAGAGAAAAGGCGTCATATAAATAAAAAATAATAATAACCAGAAAATTAAAATCACTTAAAAACGATTCAATCCTTATTCCATTGGATCCCAATATAGATGTAGCTGCTTCTAGATTAAGCATAAGCAAACCTCAGCCCTCCAGGTGTTTTGGACTTCACCTTCCACAATTCCTAACAGCCTACCGGACGACCAAAATTTGCCCGTGCCTGCTCTAGAGTATATTTCTCAAACTTTTGCATTTCATCTCCCTTAATTTCTGGTCATTGGCAAAGCAGCTGAGACTGCTTTGGAGTTGAAGTCCAAAAGCCCTGGGGGACTAGAGTTCCCAAACCACTTAGCAACAGGTTGAGCCACTTGTATCCCACTGGATCACAAGTTTTGATCTTCAAAGTCTTTGGGACTTCAACTCCCAGAGCCCCATTTGTTTTGGCCAACAGACAGGGATACACTGTAAACAGAACGGATGCAGTTTGGACCCATTTGAACTGTCCTGGCTCAATGCCATGGAATCCCGGGGCTTCTAATTTGGTCGGGGACCAGCCCTCTTTGGCAGCGAAGGCTGAAGATCTTGCAAAAGTACAACTCCCATAATTCCATAGCCTTGTTTGCCACCTCCCATAATTCCAAAAGTGCAATCTAAAATAAACATGTACTAGCTGTACCCGCCACACGTTGCTGTGGCCATCCATCCCTCTCTCTCTCTTTCTCTCCTCCTTTCTTTCTCTCCTTCCTTCCATTCCTTTTTTTCTTTCCCTTCTTTCTTCCTTCTCTACCTGTTTCTTTCCTCCCTCCCTTTGCTCTTTGGTTCTATCCTTCCTTGTCTCTTTCCTTCCTTCCCTCCCTCTTTCTCTTTCGTTCCTTCTCTTCTTTCTTCCCTCTCTTTCCTTCCTTCTTCCACTTTTTTATTTCTTTCTCACCTTCCTTCTCTACCTTTTTTCCTTCCTTCTTTCCCTCTTTTTCTCCCTCCTTCTCTCCTTCCTCCCTCCCTCCTTTCTGTGTATAGGAAACCCTAAGCAACATGTCCCTAATCACACTAATGATCTAGGATTGCTCGCTTTATCTCTCTCCAAATACCTATCCTAGTTATATGTCACCTTGTCATGCCCAGCATTTTTTAAAAATGTAATTATTACATTTGGCCCTGCCATAGGTTTTTAATGCATTGTGGCATTATTGTTACTGTTTATTGCTTTGTTTATGAGTTTATGTATTGTCTGTATTGCTGTTGTTGCTGTTTTTACTGATGTATTTGGGCTCGGCCTCTTGTAAGCCACACCGAGTCCTTCGGGAGATGGTAGCGGGGTATAAATAAAGGATTATTATTATTATTATATGTTTTGTCTGTATATATGCATATCTGTGTGTATATGCATATATATGTGTTTGTGTATATGTGGCTTTGTGCATGCATTGTAATGTATTTTTTAAGTTTTTGGCTTTTATAGTCCCATCTGCTGTGTTTTTCAATGTTTTAATGAGTGATGGTCTCTCGTTGGCCTGATAAGTGTCTTGTGCCCAAATTTGGTGTCAATTCACCCAGTGGTTTTTGAGTTATGTTAATCCCACAAACAAACATAACATTTTTATTTATATAGATACATGTATTTATAGACATATATATGTATACATATACTAACAGTGCTTGTGAAAGTGGCAGGAACATGAGGAGGGCCTCCCTATCAGATCTTAGGGCCTGTGTGTCAGTTGATGGGACGGGAGGGGGAGATGGGGGTCACAAAGATAGGCAGGGCCTGAGCTGTTTAGGGACCCGAGCTATTAAGCTTCCACATTTGGAGCTTTTATTTTAATTCATTATGGATTTTATTAAAACGTTATCTCTAGGAAACACTGGTTCCTCCATTGTAGCAGAGGGTGTCTTTCGAGTAGTGCTGAAAGACCTAGATCAATGGTTCTCAATCTGTGGGTCCCCAGGTGTTTTGGCCTACAACTCCCAGAAATCCCAACCAGTTTACCAACTGGTAGGATTTATGGTAGTTGAAGGCCAAAACATTTGGGGAGCCACAGGTTGATAACCACTTACTTAGATATTCTTAGAAAGGTGTTCTCTTAAATAAAAAATAGCTTTTTAATTCGTTTTTTCCAGTTCTTCCAGGTATCACTAACTGATGTTTAAACTCTAATTTGAAACTCCATTTCTAATTCATACATTCCCTTTTTTATCCCAACAGTGGATGAACATGGACATGGTCTGTTGTTTCTGGCAGATGTAAAAAGACAGAGGAGCAGAGAAGGAGCAGCAAGTTGGAAAAATAAAGATAATAATCCTTCTCTTTCTGACAGTAGTGCCCCCCGTAGAGACACACTGTTTGAAAAAACAGAGAGAATAGAAGGAAAAAAATGAGCAACAGTCTTTCGTGCAAGAGACACGCAAGTTCTAAGAAAAGTGTTAAGTCTCACAGCAAAAGCCACAAAGAGGACAAAGCCTCAAAATACTTGGATTGCGGGAAGAATAGCCTGTCTCATCATAGAAAACACGGTGAAGAGAAGCCCTACAAGTGCTCCGACTGCGGAAGGAGCTTCAGCTTCAACACCAGTCTCAACAGGCACCAGAGAACTCATAAGGGGGAGAAGCCGTTCAAGTGCTTGGAGTGTGGGAAGGGTTTCCATGTGAGCACCAGCCTGACTTCCCACCAGATCACTCACACGGGGGAGAAATCCTACAAGTGCTTGGAGTGTGGGAAGAGCTTCAGCTTCAAGAAGACCCTCAACCGGCACCAGCTGGTTCACACGGGGGAGAAACCGCACACGTGTCTGGAGTGCGGAAAAAGCTTCAGCATGAGCGCGAACCTTGCTTTCCATCAGAGAAGCCACACGGGAGAGAAGAAGTATAACTGCTTGGTGTGTGGGAAGACCTTCGGCTTCAAGAAGACCCTCCGGAGGCACCAGAAGACGCACACTGGGGAGAAGCCCTACGAATGCTGGGAGTGCGGGAACAGTTTCCATTTGAGCACCAGCCTCATCTCCCACCAGAGGATCCACACGGAGGAGAAGCCCTACAAGTGCTTGGAGTGCGGGAAGTGCTTTCAGTGGAGCACCAGCCTCGCTTTCCATCAGAGGACCCACACCGCCGAGAAGCCCTACAAGTGCTTGGAGTGCGGGAAGAGCTTCAGCCTGAAGGCGAACCTCACCCGGCATCAGAAGATCCACACGGGGGAGAAGCCGTACACCTGCCTGGAGTGCGGGATGAGCTTCAGCCTGAACACGAACCTCAGCCGGCACCGCAGAACTCACACGGGGGAGAAGCCCTACACTTGCCTGGAGTGCGGGAAGAGCTTCGGCAGGAAGACGAACCTCAGCCGGCACCAGACGACTCACACAGGGGAGAAGCCCTACAAGTGCTTGGAGTGTGGGAAGAACTTCAGTCGAAACACCAACCTCCGCCGGCATCAGAAGAACTCCCACCGGCATGCAAGCATGTGAACACTTTGGGGGTGGCGTTGGCCGTTCTGAGGCCACACATCCAGCTATTGTAAAAAGAGGAATCTGTACAAGTGGCAACAATTATACAGCGAGGACTGGGCGACAAAACCCTTATTTGGAGAGATTCATGTGCCAATCTATTGGACCTGGTGGGGAGTGGACCTCTCCCCACCCTATTTTAATTTTTTTGTCATTTCAGAACTGAAAAGTCCCATTTCCACCCCTTTCATTGTAGAAACCAGGCCTGTTTTGCCAGTTTTGGTGGGTGTCGCTGATGTGATTTTGTTCCTGGAGGGCCTTCCCCCCCCCCCAAAAAAAAAAACCTGGACATTTCTTGTGGGGTGGTGATGGGCCACCTTGTCAGTCCACATGGGAACTAAGGAAACTGATTCCTGAGCAGACATTAACTCTGGAAACTTCTCACTGCTTGAAAGCGGTGCGCACTGACATCCATGCTACAAAGACATTTTTAAAACAAACATTAGATAGCACTTGGTGGGGTGGACGCAAACTGTTAGGAGGGTAACGTTTTTGTTTGCAAAGCCGATACTTGGGTCTGTTACTGTTCGAGGCAGGGATGGTCTTCCGTTCATTGTTCTCTAACCATTTTAGCTTCTCATTTCTGACTTCACCCAATACACTACATCCTCCTTTCGACATCCATGTGTAAAATGATAGCCGCCAGCTTAGTATGACGCTTCATGCATTCGACAGAATCTTCATGCCATAATAAACCCATTGATTGTAAAAGTGCCGCAGGTGGACTCGTGTTCTCTGAAACAGCGTGACACTTCCTCTGGAAAGTGTTCCAACACAGCAGCCCCATGTATATTTCTCCAAGTCAATGAAGTCAGTCATACCAATACAATTTATGTATTTGTTGTGTCAGAGCAACCAGTCCATTATATTACATTTCTAACAGAACAAAGCAAACAAACAGACAAAATACAAAACTTGTGAGTTTGGTAGTTGGTTAAATGTCCTTTGACCAGTATCTGACCACTTGGAGTGCTTCTGGTGTTGCTGCAAGAAGGTCCTCCATTGTGCATGTAGCAGGGCTCAGGTTGCATTGCAATACAATGATCATTGTGTTGTCCCTGAGACAAAATCAGTCATGTGTTAATACTGTTCTTCAGGGAGCCCAGAAAGCAAAACTCTGGCAACAATGGACAGCACCTTCTCCCTCTCTCTTTGCTTCCTTCTGGCAAACAAATTACTCAGATATGGCAAAACTACAGTTAGGTGGATTTATTTATTTTATTTTATTTATCGTGTCGGGGCAATCAGACCATTGTATTACATTTCTAACAGAACAAAACAAACATAAAAAAACCAAAAAGTTTGCAAACTTGGTAGATTAAATGTCCTTTGACCAGTATCTGGCCACTTGGGGTACCTCTGGTGTTGCCACAAGAAGGTCCTCCATTGTGCATGTGGCAGGGCTCACGGTGCATTGCAGCAGGTGGTCAGTGGTTTGCTCTTCTCCCCACTCGCATGTCGTGGATTCCACTTTGTAGCCCCATTTCTTAAGATTGGTTCTGCATCTCGTGGTGCCAGAGCGCAGTCTGTTCAGCACTTTCCAAGTCGCCCAGTCTTCAGTGTGCCCAGGGGGGAGTCTTTCATTTGGTATCAGCCATTGATTGAGGTTCTGGGTTTGAGCCTGCCACTTTTGGACTCTCGCTTGCTGGGGTGTTCCAGCTAGTGTCTCTGTAGATCTTAGAAAACTATTTCTAGATTTAAGTCGTTGACGTGCTGGCTGATACCCAAACGGAATGAGCTGGAGATGTCTCTGCCTTGGCCCTTTCACTATTGGCTGCCACTTCCCATCGTGGCTCACTATGAGTAGGGCTTGAATTTTTGGGGGACTTCTGATCAGCCCACACACTGCCTTGTCAGAGAAAGAAAATATGCCATGCATATTTACTCTTCTTAAATCCAGAACAACATACCTACAATGTGATCAGTTGCATCAACTCACATAATGTCCTTTTTTATGAGAGATATAAAATGGTCTTTCATTTGTCCATTTAGATAAATTTATTTATTTACTATATATACTGCCCCTCTCCGCTCGCATGCGACTCAGGGCATAAACTTCAGCTGCTCATGACGTGAGATCACACACCAAACTCTCTCTGCTTCTCTCTTCAAACTGTCTCTCTCTGCTGAAGGCTTTCATGGCTGAAATCACTGTGTTGTTGTAAGTTTTTTTGAGCTGTATGGCCATGTTCTAGAAGAATTCTCTCCGGATGTTTCGACTGCATCTGAGGCAGGCATCCTCAGAAGTTGTGAGGACTCTCTC